TGAGGATTTTGCGGTCTTCTACAGCAGAAATAACAGGAATGGTGGATTACCCTTGTGGAACAAAAAAAAAATAGCATGTTATATGGTATTATGATGATTACAGCCATCCAGTGGATTAATGATGATGATGATGATGATTAATTGATGGATTGTCTGATTAACAAGCACTAATATGAGTATCATGACTGTTTTCAGGCAGTAGGTGAGACCTTGAAGAAAAAGTGGCTGTGGCTTCAAAAATGCAAGCTGATCTTTGCCTTGGTGGGTTTTTCTTTTCCTCCTCCTGTGCCGGACATTTAAAAAGCATCGCATGTTTTCTAATGCATCTTTTCCGACTGACGAAACTTGCTTTTATTACAACCTTCAGCACGAAAGGCGTGCGCTCTTTTGCCAGCACCGCATGCCATTTACTGCTAGCGCAACAACAGCCGCATATATAGAGACTGTATATATTGCTTCAAAGGATACTGCCACAGAGGGAACCATACATAAAACTTGTGCACATTTGGCCAGATAATTTTTGTAGCCGCTTAGCAAGCAGAATGTGCTTTTCATCAGATAAAATACCATATCCCAATTATAATTCACAATGCTGTGCATTTTGCAGTTTGGTTATAACGAAAGTGTGCAACAGGGAAGAAGCATGCTTTTTATATGAGCATGCTTTGGAGATTCTTGGATATGGAGATTCTTGTACATTATTTCAAAATGTTAAGTTGGATACCGGTGTTATTCAGAACTGTGGTTCCTTGATGGCACTTTATAAGTAACTAACAAAAAAATGTTTTATTTTATACTATCAAGCAGGCACAGCTTGACTTGGTTGGAATGAAACAATATTGCCTTAAAATTTGGAATATAGATGTTGCTAATCAAGATACAGGTGCCACATTTGTGGCTTTCCATGTTTTTATTTCCAATGAAGTTCTACATCATAATTCCTACTCAGAAAAATAAGCAGATGAAATCATGGGAATAAGTAGAACCTAAAATGTATATAATACTATACCGTGTACCCGAACACTTCCTTTCCATGTACAATGCATCGTAAATCACATGAAGTGAATTGGTGTGTTGCCTTTATGGAAGAGTGTTATTTTTACCTGTTCTCGCCATCCAAATTTATTTTGTTTGTTTTGTAATCTTAGTTCTAGACTGCTAGTACCTGTCCGCATCTCACATTTCTCCAAGTTTCTTGCACAATAAGGGAGCCAGTCACCAGTAAGATTCCCAAAGATTCATAATCCCATGAATAGCTTTATGGATTCCTATTCAGAAACTTTTCAAATGATCCATCATTTAACTTTCCACCCCGAGAGCTGATGCAGAGTAGACTATTGTTCCTTTCTGCATACCTTTTGCTAACAGTCTTGCTGAACAGGAAAGTGTCTAGGTCTAAATTCCTGAAAATTACTACCAATTCAATACAGCATTTGAAAATTATTTGAAGAGGCCTAAAAATGTACTCAAGGAAAAAATGGTCCTGTGACGTTCCAGAAAATAGAAGACTTGTACCATCAGTCTTACTCTTTCATTCATGCTATGGTTAAGGAGCTATTTTTACACTGCTGAAATAGTTCTAGAGCTGGATTTCCATGTGTGTGCATGTATATATTATTTATATTTATATACACATGCAAATGGCAATTTTTAATATCTAATTGAGGTCCTTAGTGATCTCTGAGCTTGGCTGTTTTCCTGCAGATATTTCAATATCCAAACTAGATAGATGCGTGTTTGTGTTTATTTTCATGATCATGGTCATGATGTGCACTGAAGATGGTGTTTGATTTCATTGTACAAGGTGCAATGACAATAAAGTAAACTAAAAAAATAACATCATCTATATGTTACCTAGTTTGGTAATAAAACATCTGCAAGAAAACAGCCAAGTTCAGAGAGCATCAAGGACCCCTCATTTCAACCCTGAGTGACAAATATTCTCCTTTATTGATAGTTGACCTTAAAGAACCCATTATAGCCCTATCAGGAGGATAAAAAGATAATTACAATTCGGGTCACCAAGCTGGATATTGCTGTTGTCTCCATGCAAAGGATAATTCAAGAATAGTAGCCAATGCTTAGCAGAGCTAAGCTATTATCATAATCTTTTGTTCCAGTTGACTTCAAGTGGTGTTTGACTTACAATCATTCATTTAGTAACTGCTCAGAGTTACCACAGAAAAAAGTAACCTGCCACTTATATCCTCGCATTTACAACCATCACAGCACCTCCACAGTCACATGATCAAAATTCAAGCAGATGAGAACCGGCATGTATTCATGGCAGTGGTCATAAGTTGAGGACTACCTGCAGTCAGATTTGACCTGGCATTAGGGTGATCATAATTGCATTTTATCATAAATCAGGAAAACATCTGATCAGCATTGTCCGATTACTGGACTTCGTCACATACACACAGCACAATGATACATTCAAAGAAACTTCAGAGATCTACACGGTTTTACAATTGCACCCGAAGTAATTTAAAAGTTGTAATAGTGTTTTATTTGTACAGGACCTCTCCAAAAGATACTTTTCTGTTGTAGCAAGAAAGACAGAATTGAAAATCTGCGATATTGAACTAAAATGGTTTATGATGGGGGCATTAGCTTAAAACATACAAGATAATTGTTTAAAAATGAATGTTTTTATTATAGTCATGCTGGGCATCTGAATATGGTGGGTCACCATTGGCCAGTTTGAAGAAAGTTTTTGCTGTCACCGGTATGGTTTTTCCCAAAGAAATTCCTTGATTTCTGCCATTTTTACTTTTGTAAAAATGAACTTTAGAACTGTTTTGTCTCTTAAGGCAACACATATTGTATCTGTGTTTTGTTATTGTGTTTTAAGAAGGGAGCCGTTGAATTCTCTAGAGCAGGGGTCCCCACCCCCCACTACTGAACCACAGCCTATTTGCAATCTGGTCGCATGAGTGATGGGGCTGAAATGCACGTGCGCACAACTCAATTTGCTCACTCAAGCAGTCCAGTTTCCCTCCCCTTCCCCCCCCCTCCCCCCCCCAGCCAAGCTGCAAATATTGGGGACTGCTGCTCTAGAGAGAATTAAACTAATTTCTCTTTCTTTCTCTCTCTTTCTCTCTCTCTATTTTGTTTTTTGCAAGTTTTGGTATGTCACTCTTGATGTCCTAGTAATCATCATCATAACTCTTCTTCTTCTTTTTTTAACAATTCAAGTTCAGAGGAAAGTAATGGGTAGCTTCTTCTGCCCCAGTAAGAAATTAAAATACTTTTTTTAGCTAACTGTGCCGTGCGGTTAATGGGTTAAAATTATCGTAAAATAATTGGCCAGCTGAAGCTTCCATTACATGGTGGGTGAGATGGGAAATGAACTGCATTATATACCGATCTCTGATCTCCTAAGAAAAGAAGACAAAAAAGATGGAGGAAAGCAGTAACCTGATAAATTGATATGACAATGTTAATGAGGCATTGATGCAGATTCTCTGAAGTCTTTCCAGGACTAACAACAGTGAAAGTGTTCAGCGTGATGGTATTCGCAAAGGAGAAGGGGGGGGGAGAAACCTTCATACTGATTTAAATTATTTTTCAATTAATGTCACACATGGTGTCCAATCTTACAACTTTAACTTTGATCTGGCATCTTGTTAATCTAGCAAAACCTCCTCATTAAGCACAATGTTTTGAAATATTCATATACAGGTAATCCTTGGCTTACCACCATTCGTTTAATGATTGTTCAAAGTTACCATGACACTGAAAAAAAGAGGCTTATGGCTATTTTTCACACTTATGACTGTTGCAGCATCCCCATGGTCACTTAATCCAAATTCAAATGCTTGACAATTGACTCATATTTATGACAATTGCAGGGACCACCTTTTGCGACTTTCTGACAAGCAAAGTCCATGGGGAAGCCAGATTCACTTAACAACCATGTTACTAATTTCACAAACGCAGTGATTCACTTACCAACGGTGGCAAAAAAAATTGTAAAATGGAGCAAAGCTCATTTAACAAATGTCTCACTTAGCAGCAGAAATTTTGGGCTCAATTGTGGTCGTACGTCGAGGACTATACCTCTTTGTGTGTCTCGCTGCAACTTGGAGAGATAAGCCTTCTTGTCCTCCACAACAATCTTAGATAGATGAAAATTATCTTTTTTATGGAGAAGTGCTATGTCTACAGCTCTCTAGAGTTCAAACTCTCTGAGATTCAGACTGGAGTGGAGGCTGGTTTATAATTTAACCCACGGCAGTAAGTGGTCCAAAATATTCATCCTAAATATTGTACAAATGAAATTATTAAATTGCAGCCCACCAGGAAACCAAATATAGAAGAATTTGGCTATTTTTAGGGGGTGGGGAACTTCCTATGGTCTTTGGTGTGCTGTAAGATCTGCTTCTAAAATGACTTGGCCAGGAGAAATCCTAAATGTAATATAATTTTAACCTGAACTTAATTCAATTATCCCAATGGATGTAAATATATCCTCTTACTGACCCAGGAAAATGACAATTTAGCAGCAAATTCTGGAGGCCACATTAAGGACACGTCCCACCAAAGACAGCTCCAAGATTTCTGATCAGACACCATGAAAAAATTGCTTTAAATAATCCATTGTATCATCTATGGAAAACTGAAATGAGATTGAAACAAACGGTTATCACTTGGAAAGTAATAAAGTATGTTGGATTGGACATCATGCATCTCTAAATATATATATTATATCTTATAGTTAACAGTTATGCCAAAACCTGTGTGATTGCTTAACTGCTTTAAAATGATCATTTTTGTTTCCAGCACCAACAATTTGCTTCCACTATTTTACATGTTAAACTTCTTGCTTTTTTTTGTTGGTTTGTTTGGCGGGAGGAGACAAGGAAGGGAATTGAAACTGATGATGATAATGTCATATTAAAGCTATTTCTACATCTGTAACAGGAATGTCATACATTTCCTCCTGACACAAGTCATTGTTGATTTCACTGTTATAGGGGAAAGGATCTAGGGCGGCAGATAAGGCTGTTGCCATGGTGATGAAGGAGATACCGAGGGAGGAGTCTCCGGAGGAAAAACCCCTCCTTACTATGAAATCACAGGTGGGCAGAATGGTCCGGATTTGAAGGAGGAAGCTGTCGTATTTCAATGCAAATGTAGATCAACCATTAGTAGAGCTACCATATTTTGGTTGCAAACATTCATCCATTAGGTGGCAGTAGAGAAGTTTCATTTTACTATCTTATTTGCTGCCATCTTGTGGTCACTGGTTTTCTTCCGCTGAGATATGGTAGCTCAATAATTTTCTAGAAGTCTTCCATTCTTCTTGATTTCTATGTTCAATTAGATCTCAATCGCTCTCTCTCTTCCTGCCTCCCTCTCTCTCTCTCTCTCTCCCTCTTTCTCTGCTTTCTTACTCTTTCTGTACCTTTCTCTTTCTTTTTCTCTCCCTCTCTTTCTCTGTCCCTCTCTCTTCTAACTTTATCATCACACTGGGAGAGAGCTATTTAAATCCACATATTCTTCATCCAAATTACACTGAAGACATATTGACAAAATGATAATAATAATAATAGGTGACAAATGTTAAATTTTGAAAATCATCTTGCTAATGTGTTTAATAGAAAATTTTCATCTGTATCCTTTAAATTATATCCAGCATTTATTTATAGCTGTATTTATATGATTTCTTCTTTGGCATTGCTCTCAGGGTCCAGGTTACAGTATTATAATATTATATGCAATATATTGTTAACAATATTTTTCAAACAAGGATGAAAGGCATAAAATATAGTATAAAGCAGAGAAAAACATTACTTCTGGTTCACCATTTTACATATTCTGCATTAATGTTGGATTTTTTTTTTGAAGGCAGGTGTTTGAAGTAAAATGGCATACGTAACAAGATTGTGCATGTTAGTCATTAGCAAAGCATCTAAAACTGTTCAAAATTACCAGCTGTGATCCATTTTGTCCATAGTTACAAACAGCAGTGATATAAGTGAACATTAATAACAAAAAGATAAAACATACTTGGTTTGTTGAGTTTTGTGCCGTACTTCACAATATTTAATGCTTTTGAAATAGTCATGTTTGCTGATTTCTATCACCTCTACTGCTAGCCGATCTCATTCACACCATCTTGAATGTGGAGGCCATTTTTCTCTAGAATGTTCTGCTTGCTTTGGCAAATGCGAGATCTTATCCAAGTTGTACCCAATTGTCTTTAGTTTTGCAGTTTGCAGTTCTCAACTTTGGAAAAGCTAGGTTATACATTAACAGATTCAATGAAACATGGGACAACTGAAAAAGATTTTCTTCAAAAGCTAACAATCCAACAAGCAATCTAATGACCAATCTATTTTGTTGAAACAGTCTGCTTTAGTAAGCAATATATGAGACTTCAATCTTATATCTTAAAACTAAGGTCCACAGGAATGAATCTCCTTAACTTTCTAATTCCTGGTGTGAGAAGATTAGAATATTAGAATTCTTTATTGGCCAAGTGTGATTGGACACACAAGGAACCTGTCTTGGTGCATATACTCTCAGTGTACATAAAAGAAAAGATACATTCATCAAGAGTCAAGAATCATAAGGTACAACACTTAATAATAGTCATAGGGTACAATAAGACATAAAAATATTGGTTCTTTTAACTCTCTCACATAGGATATAAATATTATATATTATATATTATCATATTATATTATATTATTATAGTTTCATTATAAGATAAAAATACAGAAAAACCCCCAAAAGTTAGAAAACGAAGGAGAGAGTGCAAAGAGAGAGAAAAAAGTGATTTCTGACTTAGCATGCAGTGAAATACAAATACTGTATTTAACTTTGCTACACATTTCATAACATTTCAACCATTTCTATAATAACAAAATCATTCTAATCATGAAAATCTAAAATCAAGTTTCCATTTTTTTTTCACATTGGCATTACTTTTGAATGATTTGCATTAAGTATGATTTATTTAAATAAGTTGACTTCTCACTGTTCATTATGAAATAGGCTTGGTTTAGGAAACTGCAATTAAAAGTAAACATATGGGTTTGATTCTGAAGCTCTGAATATGATAAACCAGAATATTAAATAATAATTCAGTAAAATGTGGATTGCTAACAAGACGGGTAGAATAAATGGAGATATTTGATGCAGATCCCTAAGTTAAAACAAATAACCTTTAGCATTTGGAGGAAATTAATAAATCAAGAGTTATAATATAATCTCAAGGATTTTTAAGTAGTTTGATTACATATTGGTATTAATTGCATCTTTCATTTGAATGCATGAAAAATGAACAGGAGGGAAAAATAGGTTGTCATAGGATGCAGTAATACCAAACAGGAAGGGCTGGAAGGAACAGCGTAGCCAGGGATCTCTTTTAAATTACCCTAATGATAAACTATTTTAATTAAGGATCTGCATTACACTGTGTATGGACCATCAAGGGCCTTTGCCAGACTTAAATATTAACCCTGAAATCCAGTGATTTTTTTTAGGCTTTCTGCATTAAATTGTGGGTTGTGTCTCTAAATTTTGGGTTTTTCCCTTGTTATTAGATCAATACTCATTATTAGTATTACTATTGTTTGTATGGAATAAATGGACATTTAAAACAAAACACAACCCAAAGGCTTTATTCTTTTAACTTCATTTTATTTACTAAACACATTATTAAGTACACACCAGGATAGATAAAAGGCATATCAAAAGATCAAATAGTAAAATATAATTAAGAAAGTACAAGTAAGTAAACATACAATCTGAACAGTCAAGGAGATTAATGTTTCTTTAGCTATCTCAAGCCAAATTGCAAATGTCAGGCAGCGATCATGAAAGTCCAATTAAACTGATTTATTACTACTCATACCTATGCACAGGAATATTCTCAACTAACGGTTAGCACCTACTAGCAGTTACAGGTTATCAGAATTCAAGGAAAGTTGGACTTTGTTCGCTTGTGCCTACATTCTAAGCTAAACCCTCTTTTGACTCTGCCCCCAGGCTTGGCCACTTCTTCCTGTATACAAATGTGTCACTGATTTGTAAAAGAAAAGCTAAGACTAAGACTAAACTAAGGCTAAATGAGGACTAAGCTAAGATTAATTAGGAAAAGCTAAAACTAGATTAAGACTAAACTAAGAACTTTAAACAAAGAGTATGATTAACACGGTTTATACATAGTAACTGGAAATATAGGCAATGTAATTCTAATTATAGATGATCTAATTATAAGTATAGAATAACATCTTCTAATTGCTTGTAAAGTTAAAATATAAATTAAATGTATAATAAGTCATATTTAGGATGTGGCACAAATCCATACAGTAAGACCTAATCTAAGAAAAGTTTCCAGTTAGAAATGAATTCTATATCAGATTTACCTTTAAGTATAACATGTTGGACATCAAAATATAGCCCTTAACTTGATTATCCATCTTTCAAAGGAAGAAATCAAACATGCTTTCTAAAAAGAAGCATGTGATAATCCTTAGCACAGCTAACAATATGCTTTGAATGGACACATGGTTTAATGAAAAGTTGAATAAAATTATTTCTGGTTGCAAAGGACATTCAGCTTCAAAAGCTGTTTTATTCTCATGTGAATCATGTTCCTTTTTAACTTCATGGGAGCTATTCAAATGGAATATTTTTTTTCCAACAGAAATAATTGAATTCTACACTGTTTGCCAGATTGAAGTGTACAGTGTGTTTAAAATAATGGTAACCATAGCAGTCATAAACCATACAGGCCCTGTTGTTATCAACAATTTGCAAATGTATGTATTAAAATACCAGCCCACCTTTTTATTATTATTATTTCTACATATTCCAGTACCCCTGAATGTTCGATTACTTATGATTCAAATGAATTCAAAGGCAGCTCAGACCTTGCAATTGTTTCATTTCATTTACTTCCTTTGTGTAAAATCCCAAAGTAGCTTAATTGAAGTTATTAGTAATTGCCAATATGCTTCTGTGCCTTAAAATAACTCATTCTCAGTTGCCTTTTACAGATTTGCAATATTGAATTATCCACACACATACATCAAGGTAATAGATAACTTCAAAGGGACTCATTGTCCCAACAGGTATTAGAGTGAAAACGTATTGGTTTCCCACCCCCTATGTAAGAAGATTGTGATTCTGTCTGGATTTTACATGAATATCTGTTAACACCTTGCCAATTCCCAAGAGCAGCTCCTTAACAAACATGCAAAGCGAAATAAATATCTGAGTGGTCTTTTGTATATGAAGTTACGCACAGATAATAATCCTTGTAGGAAAATCTACCTCTTTGATGCCGTTGTTTATTGACCTATAGATACAGAGATGGAGCAGGAAGCTTTGCTTTGATACATCCTGTTTTGGTTTTACATGCAAGCTACTTTATGAATCAGGTGAATTGAACGAGAGAATGGAACTCCTGATTCATATTCTAATGTGTTTCATGCCCATTTACTTTTATTTCCAGTAATCATAAGAGTTTCCCAGAGTGAACTGTTATTGGTTTGTGCATGTTTCTGTCCTCCTGTGTGTGAACTGACTTCATCTTTGCCATCGTTGAGTGGACCAGTATTTTGGATAATTGCCCGCAGATCAGCTTTGTTGTATTTGATTGTGTTGCCTTGCAGACTGCTATACATACTTTGCTGCCTTTTTAATGCTGATCCACATGCACCTTTCATAGTGAGCATTTGTCTGACATCGTGTAATACTGCGAGAAAGTGAGAAAGTTTTAGATCCAACTTGATGTGTTTCTTCCGTAGCAGGGAAGCCATTTAAAAATTATCTCTGTATTAGACTCCCATGTTGTGTTCGTAATGCATACAGGCATAGATCAAAGGGATTGCCTTGGTCATGTGACTGTTTCCTGCACATATCTCTTCTGGAATTGATATGAGTAGGATAAAAAATAATTGGATGCGACCCGCCTGGTTATGTGATATTTCCTCACTGCTGGAGTCTATCCACGGGGAACCTATTTTCAGTGGTTTCCACAACATGGCTGTATGTAGTCTACAAAACTCAGCTTTAATGTAGAAAAGGAAGACACTGAGTTCCATTCTAGACCCCAAAATTAGAT